GAAAATATACTATGTATAGTATTTTTATGTATAGTATGTTCATAATAGACAAATGTAAAGCATGTTCTTTGTTCTACGAAAGCAGAAAATACAGACCTGAAATGAAATTGAAACAAAAATATACGGCTAAATTATCTGAATAAAATAGTAGAGAAATGTGTTCTGTTTTTACCAGACTGCCAAGTTTTACTCCATACAATAGTGGCATTTTTTTATGACTACTAAATGAACTAATATTTAAAAAAAATAAATGCCACAATAAATGACATAACCATAAATAGAGACCATTGTTCTCTCACTAATCATTTCATCAAAGATTAAGCTAGTTATATGGAGAGATTATATCAAATAATTACAATTAAGATAAATATTTGAAGGGAGCCGGATAGCTGAAATTGTTGTTCAACAATGTTTAAATGTTTAAATTCAAGTTAACATCAAATATGTCTCAAAGTAACTATATTTCATTTTGCTACTCATGAAAGTGCATAAATTAATGATTAGCTAAAATGAAAAAGAGGAAACAAACATGCAGAGTATATCTGGCACATTTCTAGTGGTAAGATCTAGAAAACTGATCAAAATGTGACATTATGTTAAGGTGCCCTTATAGATTCAAGAAAAGCATGTCAAAATAAACATCTACACAGTATTTCAAATAAGCACTAAGCAGCGGTTTAGCGAGGGTGTGTATGCCACATTTGCCAGCTAGCTTGCCGAATTTGAACCTGCCCATCTGATATTTTTTTCATTTGGAAATGTCAATTAGACATGGTTACATTTACACAAAGAAACTTCTCTAAACTCCTAGAAAGTCTTATGTTTCCTTTCTAGAAGGTGACTTTTTACAAAAGATCCCAGCAGGAAGTTCATGTCACTGACCCTCTGAATTTGATAACTTCATCTATGTCTGGAGCCATCTGTTAAAGTTGTGTATCAACGACTTGTAATATTCACATTCACACACTCGGTCACTTATAGCTCTTACTAGCATTTGATTTTCACGTAATTCAATCAAATGCCATGAGCCCCCTCTTCTGCTTTTCCCTCACGTTCCTATTTTTAGTGTCCTTCTCTGTACCTTTGAAAATACAATGATGCAAATTACAGTTTGGCTGTTTTAACAGTCCAACCGCAAAAACCAGTGAAAGAGAAAGGAGAGAAAGAGAAGGGAGGACAAGGGGAAAAAGGTGTCTGCCTTTTCACCGTTGCTAAGTGCTAACTTGGGATTTCCCAGGCCCATTGTCATGTCAGCCAGTGCAGCAGTCCTTCCATTGTGATGATAATGGATTCGGTGTTGTTGGCTCTGAGGTCACGGGGTCAACATAAGCTCCTTAATGGACTGTGAAATAACTCTAACTGCATTAACCTCCCCAGATCACATGGTGCGGCACCCACTCTCCCTCCTGGAATCACAGCCCTTTATGGCTGCCACACGATTGGATTGAATTTTAATTGGCAAGGCGTGCACCTGGCAGTGGCGCTCCAAGGATTTTAATCACTGAAATAGGTGCAACTGAAAGGATATGGTAAACATGCACGGATGAAAGCTGACAGTCTCAGCGGGTGTAATAGAAGCATGAAAAGCTCAAAGTGGCCTTTATTAGACTGAGACTGCCTTTTGTCTGTGCATGCTTACGAATTGACCGCTCCATTGAGTTTGCTTGTCAGAGACCTCATGCATGCCCTCTTGCCAGAGAAGTCAGTCCCCAAGAGGCTGGCGTTCATACTGGAGCCTGGGGCCTGTGACTAGGAATTGCTTCCTTAATCACAGTGATTAGGAGCTGACAGCAATACATGGCAATTTGGTCGCAGGACATTCTTAAAGGAGTCTTGCCTTAGGGGGAGGAAGTTAAGGAACACCTTATATATCAAAATATTTTTACTCTCCTTTAAGAACTGTAAATAACTATTGAGAGTTTGAATGCATGCAAGTCTAAAACCAAAAAGAGTGAAGAAAAACTGATACAAGGCAATTTACTACAATCTGTAGATGCCGTAAGATAGTTAGTTAAATTAAATACACCCAGAAACTACTGAATTGTTAAGTTGTTGTAGAAGTTGAACGGCTAAACATTGCTATGGCCTACAGGCTACATTTGAATTATGAATTATTTTTGCTATTTCAAACCAGGATAAAACACACAGCGTAAGCATCCTCATCTACCGCAATTCACCATACAAGCTGAAAATGCCAATTTCAAAACATGTAGTCTGTTTCGCTATAATTAGATAATTCCCTATCTATAGAGAGGCACAAAAGAAGTGGCTGTCATGAGCTGAGATTAACTCTATTTTCAGAGTAAAGTAGCATTGAGTGATACAGTGTAAATAAGAGACAAATGAGGTAGGATGGCAGGAAAGTGCAAGTGACAAACAGTGCAAATGGCATGGTATATGAGTAGTGATGAGTCTAGAGACATGTAAATGATAAATGTGATTCAAAGACATTACAGTACATTCGAAACAAAGGTGCAAATGCAGTGATCATAAGTGGACATTTATCCAGTGACATGAGTGGAATCCAAATACACTACAGTACAGCAGAATGTGCAAAACTGTGCAATAAATACATATATTCCGTGTGCAAAGAGCAGTTGGGGTTTGAAGAAAGAGGGAATAGAGCCATTGTGAGAAATTCAACAGTGCTTCTTGGATGGGAGAGGAATGAATCATACTGTTATGCATTAAAATTATTTTAGAAATGAATAATTTTTCAGTAAAGGTGTGCAGGCCTGTGTGTAAGGCCTTGGAGGAGCTATGTACTATTGTTACTTCTAATGCAGAGATGTAGTTATAATGTGCCTCTACACAGACAACTTATTAGTCAGTACCAAGTCACTTAACTTGACGAATTAGGACATGCTTCAAGAGAATCCAAACTACCCACATAATACCCCCCCACCCACCCACCCACCCCCCACCCCCAAATTGAGGGTAAACTGAAAGTGACAAAATGAAGTGTTGGATTTTGTAATGCTGATGAGCATGTTCTGAGTGAATAAAGGATAAACAGTGATTAATTTTAGTCAATAAATAACCGTTTGAGGCATTGTATCAAAAAAAGCCCTACAATTACTTTTCCATTTTTCCTGCCAAATGGGCTGATGGGGGGAAACAGGGGATCATGCCGCGTAAATCAGTCTTAATTTTGCCTTCCCCATTAAAAAGCCGCCATTAAGACCTTCCTCGCCTCATTTCATCTTCCTCTTGTTTCACTTTTTCAATTTGTGCGAAAGGGGGAGTTCACTCATCATAAAATTTCACTTTGGCTGGCCTATCATTTGCATCTGAGCCAATAAATAGCAATTAGCATTAACAATTAAACCAGAGAGTGGAACCAATGTCTGCTCTCTTGGAAAGCTGATGAATGGCTTTGAAGTGACTTCTTTTTTTTTTTTCTTTCTTTTTTTTTTTTTTTAGAAGTGGGGGCATTACCTTCCATGGCCCTGCAGTAAAAGTAAGAGCTCTCAGAGAAGTGGTACATCCTAAATGCTGATTTATTCCATACTATAGTGACCTCCCTCATCTATTGTAATGCAACACACAAGATGACTGTGTTGAAGTATTTCCAAAGACATTCAGCAAGATATACTGTATATACTGTAAGAGACACAAGTCACTTTTTATGGTCAGGTAGAGCTTGCCTATTGCTAACTAACCCCTATTAAGTTGCTTTTTCCTAACCCTAGGAACATTTTTGGATCAAGTATCCCTTTAAAGTCAAAAGATTAAAAAAAAATTTGAAAGATGCTAACTGGATAGCGTATAGCAGCATTTGCTGTGAGTCAGCCAAGGGAGACAAATGGCTCTGTTTAGCCCCTCATGGCACTCAAGCACATTTTTAATGTCTTATTTTAGTGACCCATTTTATTCTCCCTCTGTGGGAGATCAAAACAGAGTACAGGTTCAAGAGGCATTCAGGATAACCGTCTCTGGCCATTCTCTAAAATTACACCACACCACTGTTTTAGACTTCAACTATAAATGGTCGATTGTGCAAGATGAAAGAAAAATAAATGCTATTTGTACACAGCAGACACGCAGCTGGACCTGGAAGGAAATTAGCTCATATTGTCTGTACCTTATGAATTCATTTAGTTGCATTAATCATCCGGTAAAAGTGCTGACATAGCAGTTTAGGTGCCCTAGCTAACAAACCATGGATTAAGGACAGTGGCACCCAAAAGCAAAAGAAGGCCTGAAATTGGAAGAGAGTGGCCCTGGTTCTCTTTTTTGTCCTTTTATTAACATCACAGGCCCATTAGAAAGCTCCCTGTTCACCTTCAGTGGAGCAGCAAATGAAGAAGCTTCGCAGCGCAGGACTCCTACAGCCTCGCATGGTCACAGCCCAGGCCAGCGCCACCCGTGTTTTAATGCTTGTAAGAAACAGATGTTCCTTCCCTGACAAATCTCTCGTTTTGATTTATTAGTCATTTGCTCAAAGCACAATGGAAAGTCTTTGGGCCATTAATTAAATCCCACGCAAAAATAAAAACTGGGCCGTCACGAGCTCATTACTGGTAAATGACTTTGACACATCGTCACATCTGAGAGTAGAAGCTAAAGATCTTTTTTGGTGGTAATAGGAGAAGGAGAACTGGGTCTGGTCTACTGAATCCAGGGTTATTACATCTGTGTATAAAACATGAGCATTTAGATTAGGATCTGTGAAGGCCTTCCAATTGTGTCAACTGTGTCCAGTTGTGTCAAGACGAACCAGCCTGAAATCAATTTCAATTTGCGCAAAAAAAAAAAAAAAGATCTAATATGTTTTACAACTACTGATGATGAAAGCAAGATGAAGAATGCAAGCATTGTGAAATTTATACCTGAAATGCAGGAACAGTACAGTGCTTAATGCTTCTAAATTTTTTTTTTTTTTTTTTTTATGGCATTTGGCAGACACCTTTATCCAGAGCAACTTACGTTTATCTCCTTTTATACAACTAAGCAGTTGAGGGTTAAGGGCCCTGCTCAAGGGCCCAGCAGTGGCAGCATGGTGGTGTTGAGGATTGAACTCATGACCTTCCGATTAGTAGTCTAAAACTTCACCACTGAGCTACCACTTCTACGTGATTTCAAAATTGGACAGTTGAAGATTGCTTGGTCTTTTTCCAATCATTAACTGTCCATGCTGAACCTTTGCCCACTGTATTTATACTTTAAAATATTTTAGCTATAACTGTATATAAATATACAGTTAGCTATACAATAACAATTTAGTTGCAGTAGCCCTGTTTTGATTGCTAAATACAAAGAAATAACTACAAATGGTCATGTCCATGGGCACAGTCCCTGTTACAGCTGCCAGTTGCAGTGTGTCAATGATCTTCTAATTACCTTTTTAGCTTCACCAGTTGAGAGCAATTATAATGAGGGAATGGTTTCGTCACCCCCACCTCTAAACACTCCAAACACAACAGCGCTTGTGGGAGTTTGCACACACTCACCAGGCCATCCAAATGACTGCATCACGCACCCCAGTCAGTGCTGTCACACCCCCAGTGGAAGTGTTATCCACCGTGTCATCCTAGTAATCGCACGCTCATTATATTTTTAACGTTTTGTTTTTTTTTGATGTTTTCACAGCAGCCATTATGAAACCTTCACATGCTGTTAATGGCATAACAGTTAAAGTCCTGCTGAATAGATGACTAATAAACTCACTCCTGGGTTTTGTTATGTATGTTGACGGAGTTAATAGCATTTAACAACTTATAATTAGAGATTGCCTCACTGCAGTGTTAACATCATAGCAGCACTTTGGTAGGATCTTGTCCTAAGGCTTGTGAAAATGAGACGTCAATTTCCCGGCAGCTGACTGGTGAAGTCACACATTTTACAGGTTGTTCATTAACATTGTCTCAGTGGATCCTTATCCATCAGGTCGAGGTCAAGGTCCCAAGTCTGCAACCTGAGAATGTAAAAAAGACACAGGTATTTTAGCTAAACTAGAACTTTGCCTCATGCCTTACCTTGCCCTGAACCGTGGGTTCATTACATGCTCTATAGGAGAGAGGCTGCTATCGATAAGAAGATTAAATACCTATTGACTGGCATCAAAAAGGTGCATGCTTTGATAATCTATTGTCATTGTTCTGCGGCCCAAGTGTGAACCACTTTACTTGATAAAAGCGCTGAGTGTGGTGTAAAAATACCCCCTCAGCTCCTGTGACCGCTGCAGGCCGTTCTCCATTTGCGGTGGCTCCTGCAGCAAAGGCACATCGAGGACTGCTATAATTAAGTGGCGTCACTTCTCAATGACAGTTTAATGATGCTGGCCCTCAATAGAAGAGACAGCAATGCTTTGGAGCATCTGCTGAAGATAGTCCCTCAGATGGAATGACAAAACACACACATACACATGCACATCCAAACGGCTAAAACTTCCTTTGTGCCTGCTGCCGCGAGGACCACAGGGGACGGGGCCGCTCTAATTAAGTCAGTCTGTGGGGAGAGCTGGTGTCATTTCTACTTGGCATCAGTGCTCTGGAACTGGCAGCATGGCTGGCACCGGTGCAGCTCAGAGGGGAGGCAGATTTGAGGGGCAAAATAAGTAAGAGACTTGTAACGGATTTGGATAGCAACAAAAGTGCTTTGGCATGTCTCGTTCTACAATTTTCTGTGACTTTTGTCTCTCCCATGTTGAGCTTTGTTTGTGTAAGCACACAGTGTGTTTCCTCACATATTAACAGAATCTACATTAATGTGACTGAGAAGCTCTTATAATCAGCTGTATTATAAACTGCTAATGAAATAAAGTGTTAAGGAATAATAGCTGCTGGGCTGATTGAATGAATGAGTTGGGAGGTCAAGTGCTTCAGTTAATGTTCACATTGAACAAAAGAATGTAGGAAATGTGATCTCGATTACTTTGACCGTGACATGGTTGTTGGTTGCCAGAAAGGCTCGTTTAAGTATTTCAGAAACTGCTGATCTCCTGAGATTTTCATGCACAGTCTAGACGTTACACAGAATGGTGCGAAAAACAAAAAAACATCCAGTGAGCGGCGGTACAGTGGGCAGAAATGCCTTGTTGATGAGAGAGATCAGACGAGAATTGCCAGCCTGGTTTGATCTGGTTTGATATAGTAGACAGGACGTCTACTCTAACTCAAAATAACCACTCTTTACAACTGTGGTGAGGAGAAAAGCACAACACATCGAACCTTGAGGTGGACGAGCTACAACAGCAGAAGACCACATCAGGTTCCACTCCTGTCAGCCAAGAACAAGAATCTGAGGATATCATGGGCACAGACTCACCCAAACTGGGCAGTTGAAACCAATGCATGGTCTTTTTCCAATATTCTGTTATGCAAATATATAATACAAAGTGAATGTGGTGTAATCAGAAGGGTCTTTCTTTCTTTCTTTCTTTCTTTCTTTTTACTACAGTTGAATCCTACCCTACCTATGTTCCCCATGGAAACACTGGAAAAAAAAAAACAGAAGTAGAAATGTCAGCAAGGTGTGGCTCTGACAGCTCCTCATCACTACAGTCCATAATTCTGTCAACTAGAGGTGTGTGTGGGACTTTTTGTTTAATCTTGCTCATGCGATTATAATTTTTGACAAATTTATTCTATTCAACAAATTTAGTTGGTTCTATTTCCGAAACTATAAACAAACCAATAGCCTAAATTAAACCATTTGTCCAGTATTTGTCCTGCAAGCTTCATATCTGACAGCACATTCTCACCCGCATGAAAGGAAAAACCTCCTTCCTCTGTGAAAGTTTTTGTAGGGTGCTATGAGATCCCAGTCCTGATGCACACCTTATAGTCTCAGCCAGATGTCCTAAAAAAAAAAAAAAACCTAAAATAAAATCCTTAATATAAACACACACCCACACTGGCCTGAGGATAGCCAGCAGCCCTGACATGGTCCACTGGGAAATGACAGGAGTGGACACCACTGTCACCAGTGAAAAGCATGCCTTCATCCTCATACCGCTCCTCGATCTGGCAGCCAGTCACACTCGGACATGATATGAGGAGACAAGGCAGAGATGTTCTCTTTTTCCCCACGTCACATGGATTTGGGAAAGCTGCCGCAAAGCAAGATTATCATTGTTTTTGAGCTCCTGTGTCTCATTTCATGAATTCACACATTTGCAAATTTCTATTTTTTTTTCTTTTCATCTGTGTGGCTTCAGTGATGCAGGATTACAGGTAGAATTGCCCTGCAAGCCTTTGCCAAGGTTATGACTAACAGTAGGGTGTGCATGACAGCTTCAAGGGTTTGTAAAAAAGCAGACCTCAGGTAAGATAAAAGCCGGTATAAGTTATGTAAAGACGACATTGATCTTTGCTTGGTTGGAGGTTTATTCACTGACTGATGTTCACATATGGAGTGGATGGGTGAAAAACAGAATCATGTCAAAGAGCAAGGTGCGGAATAAAAGACTACATTCATAATAACCAAAATGTCTCACTATGAATTTGCACAAAATGAGGAAAAAAAAATTTAACAAGCAACACCTGCTCCCATCAACAGTACCGTTTCATACAAAGATGTTTGTGTGTACTCATACAATTTAGAATGACACAGTGCCATAAAAGGTGAAACCGCAGACACACACACACACACACACAGAGTCTGTTGAAGGCACCGACACAACAGCAGGTTTATATGCTCTCATAAAGCATGTGAAGTTTCCTTACAATCCCAAAGGCTTTCTCCAGGAATGGCATGAGGTTACACGCTTTAATGGAAATGTTTTCCTTTGCTGCCATTCTATCCTCATTCGTATCGCAAAGAAATTTGTCTTCAGAGTCCCAAAGCATATAAACTAGTCAATCACCAGAATAAGGAATGATTAATTTATGGCCTTTTCCTGCACCTGAGTTCAAGGGAGCTGTATTTGTCTGCATGTTTCATCCACTGCTGACCCGAATCTGCAACTTCAAGCCCAGACCAAAAAACTGCGCAACAGGTCTCTGGGAAATATTGGCATTTATTGCATGTACAGCTATGTATACACCAAGGTTAAATGTGGTTGAAATAGTGCTTATATGTGCCAGTGTTTTTAATTATTGTAACAGCTAAACTATTCTGTGAAATATTAGAAGGAAGATTCCAGAGTGTTAAACACAATTTTTGACTTTTTGTACATACAGTTAGGTCCAGAAGTATTTGGACAATGACAGAGTTTTTGTGATTTTGCCTTCATACACCACCACAATGGATTTGAAATAAAACAATCAAGATGTGATTGAAATGTAGACTTTCAGCTTTATTTTAAGAGGTTCCACAAAAATATGGCATTTACCATTTAGGAATTACAGCCATTTTAAGCAAAGTGCCTCCATTTTCAGGGGCTCAAAGGTATTTGGACAATTGACTGACAAGAAGTTAATTGACCAGGTACGGTCCATTCCCTCTTTACTTCAAGACAAATGAAGCAGATAAAAGGTCTGGAGTTGATATCAGGTATTGAGATGGCATTTGGCAGCTGTTCGACTGGAGCTACCAATATGAAGTCCAAGGAGATCTCAATGCAAGTGAAGGAGGCCATCATTAGGCTGAAAAAACAACATAAATCTATAAGAGAGACAGCAAAAACCTTAGGTGTGGCCAAATCAACAGTTGTGTACATTCTTAAAAAGAAAGAAAGCACTGGTGAGCTCAACAACATCGAAAGGCCTGGAAGACCATGGAAGATAACTAAAGTGGATGATCGCAGAAACCTTTCCTTGGTGAAGAAAAACCCCTTCACAACATCAACAGAAGTCAACAATACTCTGGAGAAGATAGGCGTATCATTGTCAAAATCTACAATCAAGAGACGCCTTCATGAATGTAAATACAGAGAGTTTACGACAAGGTGCAAACCCCTGGTAATATTCAAGAACAGGAAAGCCAGATTAGACTTTGCCAGAAAACATCTAAAAAAGCCTCCCATGTTCTGGAATAAGATTCTTTGGACTGATGAAACCAAGATTAACTTGTACCAGAATGATGGGAAGAGAAGAGTATGGCAAAAGAAAGGAACAGCTCATGATCCAAAGTATAACACATCATGTGTGAAACATGGTGGAGGGAGTGCTATGGCATGGGCATGTAT